CCCCGCGTTAAAGACGGCCCTGCTCAGAGCTCCTGGAAGGCTGGCTGGGCGGGAAGGTGAGCACCCATAAAGGGGTGGAGGGAGGGGAGCTACATAAGGGCACAGGAGGGGAAGGGGTTAAAGATGGCACAGGAGGGAAGGGGGCCAAGAGGGCACAAGAAGGGGAGGGGCCAAATGTAAACACACTGCATCCCGTGCACACCCACACGTTGGTGTGCATGCCATTGGTGAGGACCATTTCATCCATTTTTATTTTTTACGGTACACCTGAGGTGGAGTATTGGGCAAGCTTAATTTCAATTATAGGAGGGGTTATCAAATGTATTTTGGGTTAAAGTCCATAGTCCACATAGCAACGCCCCTGGGGATGGGATAGAGCCAAAAGTGGAAGAGAATGGTGAGATAGGTCACACAGGGACATTTAGAAAAAATAAACAATGCATGCACACACAATAACGTCCAGTGAAAGACCCTCATATATACAAACACACACATCTTACAAATGCATTGCACTTACTAACACATTTCATACAAATATTCAATAACTGCTAGGGGTCGACCGATTATCGGTCTGGCCGATATTATCGGCCGATATTTGGTACTTTCCTCAATATCGTATCGGCCAATAGAGATACTGATATTGTTGATAATACATACCAGGACCGCAGGGCTCATTACAAGCACGGCGGTCCTGGGGGGGCCCGCAGCAAGCTCTTACTTACCTTCCCAGCAGCTCCCTTCAGCTCCCTGTGTAAATCTCACGAGTCCTGCGGCTGTCAGAGCGGTGCCACAGGGGAGCTGAAAGGAGCTGCTGGGAAGGTAAGTAAGAGCTTGCTGCGGGCCCCCACTGCACAGTCCATTCCACCGGACCACCAGGGAATGTCAGTTAACAAGCACGGAGTGGGGACTAAAATAAATAAATAAATAAAAATATCTATTTTTAATTTTTTTTAAATAAATACCCCCTCCACCCAAAATACATTCATTATATACACACACACACTGCATAAACACACACACTTTGCATTTGATATACACACACACTACACACACACTGCATTCATTATACACACACACACACTACACACACACTGCATTCATTATATACACACACACTGCATTCATTATATACACACACACTACACACACGCACACTCTGCATTCATTATATACACACACACTACACACACGCACACTCTGCATTCATTATATACACACACTACACAAACACACTCTGCATTCATTATAAACACACACACTACACAAACACACTCTGCATTCATTATAAACACACACACTACACAAACACACTCTGCATTCATTATAAACACACACACTACACAAACACACTCTGTATTTCATAATTCAGAAATAGTTTATTTTTTCAAAATGGTAAATGTACAGAATATCGGTAAGTTATCGGCTATCGGCCTGAAAGTTCACAGATTATCGGTATCTGTTCTAAAAAAATCAATATTGGTCAAACCCTAATAACTGCATCTGCACACATCAATATTATACACAAATATTAATTTGAATTCACACACATCTGTAAATACATTGATTGTCTGCAAAATACACCCAGCTTTTACACAGTTCATAGAAAACATTTCAATATTAAAAAAAATATTAAAATAAAAAATTACACAAATTACATCACTACACACACACACACACACACTGCACACATACTGCATTACATACACACTACACAAACACACACTACACAAACACACACTGGGGGGGACTAAAAAAAACAAAAACATTTAAATATTAAAAAATATATAAAAAAAATAAAAAAAATTACATCACTACACAAACACACACACACTACACAAACACACACTGCACACATACTGCATTACATACACACACACACTGCATTACATACACACTACACAGGCACCCACACTGCATTACATACACACACTACACAGACAGACACTACACACACACCACAAACACATACTGTATTACAGACACACACTACACTGCACACACACTGCATTACATACACACACTGCATTACATACACACTACACAAACACAGTACACATACTGCATTACATACACACTACACAGACACACACACTGCATTACATACACACTACACAAACACACACTACACAAACACACTGCATTACATACATACTACACAAACACACACACTGCATTACATACACACACAAAAACACACTGCATTATACACACACACTACATAAACACACTGCATTATATACACACTACACACACTCTGCATCCACTACACACACACACACAGTTCCCCTGTCTAAACACACTTCATCCACTACATGTGGCATGTATATTTTGTGCATTTACCTTTCGAATTAGTTTATTTATTCAAAATAGTAAATGTACAGAATATCGGCAAGATATCGGCTATCGGCCTGAAAGTTCGCAGATTATCGGTATCGGCTCTAAAAAATCAATATCGGTCGATCCCTATAACACACATACACTAACACACATACACTAACACACATAAACACACAAACACATACACTAACACACACTAACACACATACACTAACACACACTAACACACACATACACTAACACACACATACACTAACACACACATACACTAACACACACATACACTAACACACACACACACAAACAAACACACATACACACACACAAACACATACACAAACACTAACACACAAACACACACATACACTAACACACAAACACACACACTAACACACACATACACTAACACACATTTTTTTTAAAAAATGTAATCCCCCCAGCCTCCTTACCTTTTGGAGTGCTGGGGGGATTCCCTGGGGTCCAGTGGTGCTGCTGGGCTCCTGGGCGGGTGGCCGGTCGGGCAGGAAGGCGGGCGTGCGAGGGAGCACTCACTGCTTCCTCTTCAGCTCCCTCGCGCGCCGCGTAGGGATGCCGGCGCCGGAAGATGACGTCATCTTCCGGCTCCGGCATCAGTGCGGTGCGCGAGGGAGCTGAAGAGGAAGCGGTGAGTGCTCCCTCGCGCGCCCGCCTTCCTGCCCGACCGGCCACCCACCCGCCGGGGTCAGCGGGGCCCACGGGGCAGGTGCCTCGGGCCCCCCAAGAGAAACTGGGCCCGGGGCAGCTGCCCAGTTTGCCCCGCGTTAAAGACGGCCCTGCTCAGAGCTCCTGGAAGGCTGGCTGGGCGGGAAGGTGAGCACCCATAAAGGGGTGGAGGGAGGGGAGCTACATAAGGGCACAGGAGGGGAAGGGGTTAAAGATGGCACAGGAGGGAAGGGGGCCAAGAGGGCACAAGAAGGGGAGGGGCCAAATGTAAACACACTGCATCCCGTGCACACCCACACGTTGGTGTGCATGCCATTGGTGAGGACCATTTCATCCATTTTTATTTTTTACGGTACACCTGAGGTGGAGTATTGGGCAAGCTTAATTTCAATTATAGGAGGGGTTATCAAATGTATTTTGGGTTAAAGTCCATAGTCCACATAGCAACGCCCCTGGGGATGGGATAGAGCCAAAAGTGGAAGAGAATGGTGAGATAGGTCACACAGGGACATTTAGAAAAAATAAACAATGCATGCACACACAATAACGTCCAGTGAAAGACCCTCATATATACAAACACACACATCTTACAAATGCATTGCACTTACTAACACATTTCATACAAATATTCAATAACTGCTAGGGGTCGACCGATTATCGGTCTGGCCGATATTATCGGCCGATATTTGGTACTTTCCTCAATATCGTATCGGCCAATAGAGATACTGATATTGTTGATAATACATACCAGGACCGCAGGGCTCATTACAAGCACGGCGGTCCTGGGGGGGCCCGCAGCAAGCTCTTACTTACCTTCCCAGCAGCTCCCTTCAGCTCCCTGTGTAAATCTCACGAGTCCTGCGGCTGTCAGAGCGGTGCCACAGGGGAGCTGAAAGGAGCTGCTGGGAAGGTAAGTAAGAGCTTGCTGCGGGCCCCCACTGCACAGTCCATTCCACCGGACCACCAGGGAATGTCAGTTAACAAGCACGGAGTGGGGACTAAAATAAATAAATAAATAAAAATATCTATTTTTAATTTTTTTTAAATAAATACCCCCTCCACCCAAAATACATTCATTATATACACACACACACTGCATAAACACACACACTTTGCATTTGATATACACACACACTACACACACACTGCATTCATTATACACACACACACACTACACACACACTGCATTCATTATATACACACACACTGCATTCATTATATACACACACACTACACACACGCACACTCTGCATTCATTATATACACACACACTACACACACGCACACTCTGCATTCATTATATACACACACTACACAAACACACTCTGCATTCATTATAAACACACACACTACACAAACACACTCTGCATTCATTATAAACACACACACTACACAAACACACTCTGCATTCATTATAAACACACACACTACACAAACACACTCTGCATTCATTATAAACACACACACTACACAAACACACTCTGTATTTCATAATTCAGAAATAGTTTATTTTTTCAAAATGGTAAATGTACAGAATATCGGTAAGTTATCGGCTATCGGCCTGAAAGTTCACAGATTATCGGTATCTGTTCTAAAAAAATCAATATTGGTCAAACCCTAATAACTGCATCTGCACACATCAATATTATACACAAATATTAATTTGAATTCACACACATCTGTAAATACATTGATTGTCTGCAAAATACACCCAGCTTTTACACAGTTCATAGAAAAACACTACCAGCTGACAAGCTCTCTGAGGACAAGATGGCACTGGCAAGCTGTTTGGAAAAAGAAATGACACTGATCAGCGATTTGGGCACAAAAATGGCTATTTGGAAACAAAAGTGGCACTGACAAGATGGGGACAAAGATATTTTGAGACAATTAGCTATATTGGGAGAGAGAGATGGCACTGATTAGCTATATTGGGACACAGATGACACCGATTAGCTATATTGGAACAGAGAGATGGCACCGATTAGCTATATTGGGACAGAGAGATGGCACTGATTAGCTATATTGGGACACAGAAATGGCACCGATTAGCTATATTGGAACAGAGAGATGGCACCGATTAGCTATATTGGGACAGAGAGATGGCACTGATTAGCTATATTGGGACACAGATGGCACTGATTAGCTATATTGGGACACAGATGGCACTGATTAGCTATATTGGGACACAGAGATGGCACCGATTAGCTATATTGGGACACAGAGATGGCACTGATTAGCTATATTGGGACACAGAGATGGCACTGATTAGCTATATTGGGACACAGAAATGGCACCGATTAGCTATATTGGACACAGAGATGGCACCGATTAGCTATATTGGGACAGAGAGATGGCACTGATTAGCTATATTGGGACACAGAGATGGCACCGATTAGCTATATTGGGACAGAGATGGCACTGATTAGCTATATTGGGACAGAGAGATGGCACTGATTAGCTATATTGGGACAGAGAGATGGCACTGATTAGCTATATTGGGACACAGAAATGGCACCGATTAGCTATATTGGGACAGAGAGATGGCACTGATTAGCTATATTGGGAGAGAGAGATGGCACTGATTAGCTATATTGGGACACAGAAATGGCACCGATTAGCTATATTGGGACAGAGAGATGGCACTGATTAGCTATATTGGGACAGAGAGATGGCACTGATTAGCAATATTGGGACAGAGAGATGGCACTGATTAGCTATATTGGGACACAGAAATGGCACCGATTAGCTATATTGGGACAGAGAGATGGCACCGATTAGCTATATTGGGACAGAGATGGCACTGATTAGCTATATTGGGACACAGATGGCACCGATTAGCAATATTGGGACAGAGAGATGGCACTGATTAGCTATATTGGGACACAGAAATGGCACCGATTAGCTATATTGGGACAGAGAGATGGCACTGATTGGCTATATTGGGACACAGAAATGGCACTGATTAGCTATATTGGGACAGAGAGATGGCACTGATTGGCTATATTGGGACAAAGTTGGCACTGGGAAGCTGGGCACAATTTAGCTATCTGGGGGCAAAGCTGGCACTATAGGAAGTGAGTGACATGTGACCTGGGTTGGAGGTGGAGTGATTTCCATAGAAAATGGGTGTGGTTAGAAGTGTTATGTTTGTAAAGGGGAGGAGCTAGCAATATAGCCACACCCACAAGGAAGTGGGCACCAAAAATATTCTTGCAACCAGGCATCAGTGACCCCAGGATCTGCCCCGGCACCACCGCCAAGTGTTTAATTATCCCCCTTAAACCATAAAAAAATGTTTTTATATTTTCGAAAGACCACTCGACAGTCACAAATATTAAACATCAATAATGGCTAGCTACACGTTTTACACCCCACAAGGCCCTAACCGGGTCCTAACCGGTCTGCGCTCGCAGCTCCCCAACGGGGTCCTAACTGGCCTGCGCTCGCAGCTCCCCAACGGGGGCCCTAACCGGCCCGCGCTCGCAGCTCCCCAACAGGGTCCTAACCGGCCCGCGCTCACAGCTCCCCATCCTGCCCTGCAGCTCTCTCTGTTATTCCTGTACTGACCCCACACACAGCTCTCTCACTACACCTCCATCCTGCCCTGCAGCTCTCTCTGCTATTCCTGTACTGACCCCACACACAGCTCTGTCACTGCACCTCCATCCTCTGCAGCTCTCTGCTATTCCTGTACTGACCCCACACACAGCTCTGTCACTGCACCTCCATCCTGCCCTGCAGCTCTCTCTGCTATTCCTGTACTGACCCCACACACAGCTCTGTCACTGCACCTCCATCCTGCACTGCAGCTCTCTCTGCTATTCCTGTACTGACCCCACACACAGCTCTGTCACTGCACCTCCATCCTGCCATGCAGCTCTCTCTGCTATTCCTGTACTGACCCCACACACAGCTCTGTCACTACACCTCCATCCTGCCCTGCAGCTCTCTGCTATTCCTGTACTGACCCCACACACAGCTCTGTCACTGCACCTCCATCCTGCCCTGCAGCTCTATCTGCTATTCCTGTATTGACCCCACATACAGCTCTGTCAGTATACCTCCATTCTGCCCTGCTACTCTTTTCGCATCCCATTCATGCAGTGGTCACTAATTTCTCATATGTCTCTAGGTGTCATGTTTCTCCATACCTGTTCCATCCCTGCTGTCTCTTCTTAGTTCTCCTGACATCTGAAAGTCGATGCTGGCATAGGTGTTGCTACAAGGAATAGCTCCTAGCAGTCCATTTTTTGTTGGCTGCGTCACAGTTGGACCCACCAGCACAGAAGAGGGCAGAGCACCTCCATCTTTGGCCAGGTCCAGATCAATATAATTGAGACCAGACTCCTGTGCCGGTGAGCGGTTTCCATTGCAGGCTGTGGAGGGCACGTTGCTTGAGGTATCAGAGCAGTGCCTTATACGTGAAGGTAGATCAGCCCTTGCTGACTTTGTGCGATCCTGCCCCTTGTGGAGACCACATGCTGTGACAGCAGAAACCAAACACCTTATATCTCCATCCTCTGAGCTTGGACGCACTGCCAAGGCCTTTTCTATGAACCCGAATGGATGCTCCGTAGAATTCTCAGATCCCAATTTGGCATTAGAACACATTTCCATTGGCACAGAAGGCCAAAAAGTCATATCTGCAGTGGGTTTGAAAGATTTTTCTAAGGCTGAAGTTGCTATTAAAGCCTTTTCTATAGCAGGTCTACTCTTTGTTTCTGTAGTAGGCATAGAGAAAAAGGAGTTTTCTGTAACTCGCCTTAGAGACTGTCCCATTTCATTCCCAGATGTTGGTTTAATTTTAGGTTCAAAAACCATTTCTGTGTAACCTCCATTGGGGGCTTGGGCGTGCTGTGTTTCCATGTCAATGTATTCATTCTGATGAATGGCTACTTCCTTAGAGGTGGTCTTTTCATGATTGGCACTGAAGTGAATTCGGACATACTCCCCAGGGCTTGGTGGTCTACGATAGTTCCTGGCCAGGCTGCTTGTTCTCCATGAGTCCACAGAAACACTGAGAGGCCTGCGAATTTTTTCCCCAACAGCCTCTTCCAGACTGTCAGAAGATGAGCCAGAGTGGTGGGCTGCATGTGTTGGATCCATCTTGTATGAACGAGGCAATGAACGATAAGATGTAGGGACCCTTGATGCTTTCTCAAAAGAGGACTCATGTGGTGGTGGGGTGATGGAGGCCGAGCGGCTGAGTGGCCACATATTCATATAATCAGAAGAGTGGCTATCCTCACTGCCAACAAAAATTTCCCCAGAGGGAAGCCAGCTGGCTCGCTCGGTCTCAGGAGAACAGCTGCCGAGAGGAGACATCATAACATAGCCAGCTGTTTCCACGGGTGCAGGTGGTGAGATACTATTGGGGGTCATAGGCATGTAATCTTGGCATCTGGTACCAGGTAACATGGGCATGTAACCGGCTTCTCTATGTTCGCATTTGCCCATCATAGCATACTTTTCCTCTTCTTCAAACTGTGCCACTCTACCTCCTTCCTCTTCAGCAGGTCCGGTGGCAGCAGTAGTATCTGCAACTACAGATTTCCTCCTATTCTGTGCCATTGAAATGTAGTTGGTTTCTCCAGACACTGGAGAAGGCGGTAGAAAAGCTTGAGGCTCGAATTGGCTGGGGCTAGAGCCATACTCATCTGATGAAGCAGATCCGTAGTCAGCAGAGGTGCGAGTTGTTTCCACTCGTGGACGTTTTTCTTCCTCTTCCTCTGGAGGGCTCTGGTTTCCAGGGGAAGAGTGGCATTTTGGCGCAGGAGAACTGTCAATGTTTGCTTCAGCTTTAGAGCGCTGAGAAAAACCCACCTGGCTGGGTGGAGGAGGGTTTGGATGGTGACGGCGAGATGGAACTGTGATTGGAGTGGAGGAGAGGGATTGACTCTTGGTGCGTGGACGAAATTCTTCACTAAGGGATTTCATAGCCTCCAAAATGGTTTCGTGCATATTTTGAGCAACAACAGAGTCTTCCACCTAAAATACGAGGGAGACTAGTCATTAGTATGACAACACATACACATAAGGGAGAAACTGAAGTCTCAATCTCCTATCTTGTAATAATATAAAATGTAAACCCTGGGGACTTTTTACTGGGTTGTGCTTCTAAACTTCTAATGCAAGGATAAGTTGGCAACAGATTTGATTCATTTCCAGTGCATTAAACACAAACTGGAAGAGTTTGGGACTCGCAGCGTTCTAGAAATCTATGGCCCATTTGTGTCAAGACTTGTACAGCTTCGGCAGAACAGTTAACTTTTTTTTTTTTTTTTTAAATAAATGTACTTGAAATGTGTTAAAGTACATGGCACTCTTAAGAAATACATTTTTCCCAAGTAACTCCTGGTCACTTTAACCTTAAAACAGGGCAGGTTCCTAAAACCCAATAACAAACACTACTCTGGTTAAATAATTAGCATGCACAAAAAACAGCATTGTTCTGCTATCAGAAGAATGTGATGGCGACCTATTTGTTCACCGTTACCTTAAATTTTGGAAGGCATAAAGTATGAAAAGGATATATGGGGAAGGCGAGATTTTTGAAATGCAGTCATTAAAAGTGGGAATGATTTTTACATGTTAACTGTGACCAACGGGATCCACAGGGACATCACGCCACTTTACTAATGGCAACAGTTTGATCAGTTACGTATCCCTTAGGAAACCGTCGTTGAGAATTTGGATGTAAAAAAAATAAATATATCATTTAAAAATGTAAAAAAACAAAACACAAAAACAAAAAAAACCTTCCAGTTATTTAAAGGGACACTACAGTCACCAGAACAACTACAGCTTATTGAATTTGTTCTGCTGAGTAGAATCATTACCTTCAGGCTTTTTGCAGTAAACAGTGTCTTTTCAGAGAAAATGCAGTGTTAACATTACAGCCTAGTGATAACTTCACTGGCCACTCCTCAGATAGCTGTTAGAGATCCTTCCTGGATCATGGCTGCCTAAAATGCATCCAAACATTCAGTGTCTCCTGCCTCTGCATGCAGACACTGAACTTTCCTCATAGAGATACATTGATTCAATTCATCTCTATGAGGAGATGCTGATTGGCCAGGGCTGTGTTTGAATCATGCTGGCTCTGCCCCTGATCTGCCTCCTTGTCAGCCTCAGCCACTCCTATGGGGAAGCACTGTGATTGGATCAGGCTACCACTTCTGATGATGTTAGCCAAGCTGGCAGATCAGGGACAGAGCCAGTAGCTGCAGACTTGAACAACAGTAAGATTTTACTATATTTAGTGAGTGCGGGGTGGGGGGTGAGGGGCAGGGGAACTAAATGGAGTTTTTAAACACTATAGGGTCAGGAATACATATAGTGTTCCTTTAAAAGGTGCATAGGGATTTGGGATAGTGTGCCAATAACTCTTTTCTTTGTTTTTTATGGTATTTATTGGGACTGATGTGTACTATAGTCTTTGCTGCAGTCTAGGAGTAGTGGAAGTTTGAGCACAGGGCTTAATTTTGTATTTTAAAATGTCAAATATCCACTTATATATTGGAGGGATTTGCTGGTATATTTAGGAATGCTGATCCCTGAAATGCTGCCAGAATGTAAAACAGACTGACCAAATGCAGGTATTATCCCTTCGTGCAGTAAATCGTGTTTTCTGGCTAAAACCAGAAACCTGTATTTCTAAAGGAAAGCCAGCTGCTAATGTCCTAATGTGTTCATATTCTATGCTATTTACAAAGAACTAGACACACATTGATCTGTGTAGGCTCCAGTGCAGAACTACTGGGGGAAGGGATGACAACATACAGGCCCAGGCAAATGGACTGACCGGGGGTTGTGCAGAGAACTTCGTTTCTCAGTAGGGTGAGTACAAATGCTGGAGCAAAGTGGGACTTTAAATATTTTGCTTTGGTCAAATCCATCAATGATTAGTAGTTGACAGAGGATCTGAACGCTTTCGCCACAACAAATCGGAAAACTAATAAAGTATCTCAGCTGTTGGTTCTCAAAACATCAGCAAACATCAAAAGAATTTAAGTTACTGGCACGTTACAAAGGAAAACCTGTCTTTTACACGTTTTCTAAAAGAAAAGCTTTGTTTTACGCTTCCTTTGGCGAGGGTTATATTATAGTTTGCTTTGCTTTCATGTTGGGATGAGTTCACCAGAGGAATCGTTTTGCTATAGAAAAGACTACGAGTGTGAGAAGTGGATGGTCCCTAAAAAAAAACAAACAAAAAAAAAAAACATCTCGCCGGCTCTTACTATGTGCTGAAATACAAATATTTTACACATTCAGTGCAACCAATTAAAAAGAACTCAAAAATCGATGAATGTATCAGTCCTGATTTTTAAATGCCTAATAAATTTAGGATTGAACGTAATGCTAACCCTATACCAACCATACCAATTACCCAATGCCTACTGTAATCTTACCCTTAAATTCAACCCTACACTATCTAGAACACTAAGACAACAATAACCCATACCAAACATTAACCTTACCCAATACTACCTGTAACCCTACCTTACTCTTACCCCAACCCTAACCCTAACCCACTGCCAATATTATTTCTGATGTATAACACATTAGCTGGTGGTATGTTGCCACCATCTACTGGCAGCTTTTAGAATTACACATTGCAATTCTAAATAAAGCCTGGCTTCCGGACGATTATTTAGAGATTGGTGCTGGGTAGCTTGCAAAGCCCAGCACCAGTTCCAATTGGCTGGGAACAGGCTGGGGGATCCTTCCATGATATCCATTGATACCTGGGGAGAGTGGTGTGAGCAGGGATTTAACTCTGCTTACACTTTAATAGGAATTTAAAGCACATTCTAGGTATCGTTCGGACGGAATGACACGTCCTACATCCGTCAAGGAGTTAAATTTGTAGTTTAAAGTTTCTGTGGTTGGTTTAGGATACATACCGCTCCCACCAGCATAGAGGAGAAAATAGACACTGATCTCCCCTCCTACGGTTTAACAAAATAAAGGCTCTAATTTTAATCTCCAGCAAAGAAAAAGAAACTTTAATATTATAAAGCAAAATCAAAGAAATTCAGAGAGTCGGTACACGAGGAGGTGGCGAGACATTAGATAGAAATCTAATATTACCAGCAATCTCATCTAAATATGTTTAATATCATTTCAAGCCTTTGTTTTAGTTTGTGCTATGATCGAATGTTTAAGACCACCACATTACCTGCATCCACAGCTCACCGGGACCAGTGACGGCCGATCGTCCCACCTCAACGAAAAAGAAGTTGTCGGAATGACCACAGCGACGTACATTCATTAGCTGGAGCGTGACGGAAGGCGTCTCCGAGCGCAAGCGAAGCAAGCTCAGGGTACGCTCAGTGAGGCATAGCCGGTACGTCCCAGATAGGTTGCGAGTCTGCCCCAAACCTCGGGGACGCAAGCTGACCTGCCATACCTCTCGAAAGGGTGGACCTGGCCATACAGTACACTCTGAAGAAGACAACGTCAAGGCTCGAGCTAAGAAAGGAGAAAATACAACAAAGTCATTAATAAATTTTATATTACAATACTGCCTCGATTACAAAATAGATTTACTTTTAATCATCTAAAAGCATTAAACAATCATTTTACTCATATACACACGGAAAACACTTCTTTTATCTCGACAGATCTCATGTCTGAGGAGAATGTGGACAAAGGTTTGAAGAATTCAGGAGCCAGGCAGACAAATCAAGGAGCCAACCGGTTTTGTATGATTTAATGTAAAATAAATCCAGTCTCTATCCATATCAGGAGCCCCACACTATCTCTGTAAGGTGTAAAGAAAATGGGGTAAAAACAGAAAAGCAAAGAGTTTGGAAAAAAGTTACCATTATTATTATTATTATTATTATTATTATTATCATCATCATCATCCGTTATTATTCCACTGAGCAGACAATCCCACGATTCTCGCTCAGCCCCCACCATACCTCTATTACGGTCCCTAATCTATCTCGCTATTTGAACTCCGTCTTATACATACAAAAACTCTGCACCTAGCGTGACATTACGAATTTAGGACCAATAATCCTCAGCCCCAGGAGGAACAGAGGGCCAAAAACCCAGATTTGTACTGTCTCTCCCCCCTGTGCATGTATCATTGCACAGTATCTGCTCCTGGCTGAGACCTACTAAAGGGGCCCGGCGCGGACAGGGAGTGGAGGCAGCCTGGCAAGTAAAGATGAGACTGGCACAATAAAATTTAGGGCGGAGGCACGCTGCTCTCCCTACAGAAGACACATGCCAACACATGCCACCCGTCTTCCAACCATCCCCTACAATTAGGAAATCGACCTTCAGAGTACAGGACCATAGGTATATCCTTTTTATAACTTACACGTACGTGTGTGCCTGGAAGAAACAGAGTTTGTAAAGAGCTACTCCAACCATCATCCCCGCAGTAGTGGTTATGGTGTTAGGAGTACCCTGGCGCTGTCTACCTGGTAATGAGATAAGCCATTTTACAACAGTTTTAACTCTTAGGTAGCAGGTGCTGGATCTCCTCTCTAGGCAGGTTTAGGATATACGGAGCTGCAAGGCGTTGTTGATTATGCCATTTATTCACTGGCGGAGAGCATAAGGTGACCGCCAATGACAGTGTCCGCGCATCAAAATTGGCATTAGCCAGCCCAGAACGACAACTTGTTAATGACAACCCAATCATGCTCCCGAAAGCGGGGTTGCACTTCCGCAAAGGGGTTAACTTGCATGGCCACAGAGTGGCTAGCAGGAGAGCTAGACAGCCATATTACGGCATGGTATTAGGGTACCTGGAGGTTTCTCTCCCATACTACTGTAAAAAGATCTGTCGTGTCCATTCTTGGGGTGATAAGTCACCCTCGGTGGACAGGCAGGAGCTAAGCGCCCCCCCCCCCCACAGTCACATTGAGAGAAGCGCAGGGGGTTAATGCATGTCTTTGCCATGTCCAGCAGTGCGAGCCAGACTCCTGATACAAATCTCATCACCCAGAGCCATCCAGGGTTGTAGTTACCTAGTGATGGAGGCAAGGACCCAGAGGCAAGGAGTTAATATAGACCCTCTGCAGAAAAACAAGTCCAGTGACGCCAGTATAGCCATAGCAACACACCTTTTCCGTGAACTAGCTCCGTAACCCTGGCAACCAGGAGTCAGGATTCGGGCCTAGTTAGAGATATTAGGGTGTGGATCATGCAGGAGAGCCACACCTCAAAATTGATGGGGTGTCTATCAACCATTAAATTTATATTACACTAAAAAATACAGCAACACATTCTATATATTTAATCAATATCCCCCCCATGTCCGCTGAACGCAGTCTGTGACGTCCTGTTATATTAAAAGAAGCACGCAGCACATTGCAAACAGATATTTCAGGGAAATCTCCTGGGATCGGCGCACACGGAACATAGAAATAAGACTGAGCGTGTGCACTTTCAACACTTTACATCTCACAGGGGTTAAAGCTCGGTCCTCGGGGTTTGTAAAACAAGTGTTTAACATGTAAATCAGCCAATTAGCAACTGCTCTGAGCAAAATGCTAATCTGATGATCCGAAATTCCCAGCAGAGGCGGATCGGAAGCATTATCAATTTCGAAAGCTGAAACTGGCCTTTCTTAGGAGATTGCAGGGTGTGAGGGGAAGACCTGTAACCCCAGGACATCTCAACACGTTGCTCACAGCAAAGCGTAACAATGCGATCCGAACCCTGAAATGTGTTATATCACACCTGTCCGTGATCCAAACCAGTAAACTTTAACAAACACATCTCTCACACATTACTACACCATGCCATGTATACACAGCACAGGTACAGCACAGACAGCGGCGGTGCCAGCCTCCCCTCACACATTACTACACCATGCCATGTATACACAGCACAGGTACAGCACAGACAGCGGCGGTGCCAGCCTCCCCTCACACATTACTACACCATGCCATGTATACACAGCACAGGTACAGCACAGACAGCGGCGGTGCCAGCCTCCCCTCACACACTACTACACCATGCCATGTATACACAGCACAGGTACAGCACAGACAGCAACAGTGCCAGCCTCCCTTCACACACTACTACACCATGCCATGTATACACAGCACAGGTAAAGCACAGACAGTGGCAGTGCCAGCTTCCCCTCACACACTACTAAACCATGCCATGTATACACAGCACAGGTACAGTACAGACAGGGGCAGTGCCAGCCTCCCCTCACACACTACTAAACCGGCCTGCGTGGCAGCCGCACAGCACAGGTACAGCACGAACGGCAGCTTACGGTGCCAGCCTCCCATCACCACACTGCCGCTGCACCATGTATGCACAGCACAGGTACAGCAAAGAGACAGTGGCAGCCCCCTCCCCACACATTACTACACCATGCCGTATACGCAGCACAGGTACAGTACAGACAGGGGCGGTGCCGGCCTCCCTCACATTACTAAACCGTACCGTAGCATACACAGCACCCAGGTACAGCGCGGTGGCCAGCGAGGGTACCCGGCTACTCCCCTTACACTACTACACTGCTTCCCCTTGCGTAGCCATGCACAGCACAGGTACAGCGCAGACAGGGGCAGTGCCAACCTCCCCTCACACACTACTACACCATGCCATGTATACACAGCACAGGTACAGCACAGACAGCAACAGTGCCAGCCTCCCTTCACACATTACTACACCATGCCATGTATACACAGTACAGACAGTGGCAGTGCCAGCCTCCCCTCACACATTACTAAACCATGCCATGTATACACAGCACAGGTACAGCGCAGACAGCGGCAGTGCCAGCCTCCCCTTACACACTACTACACTATGCCATGTATACACAGCACAGGTACAGCGCAGACAGGGACAGTGCCAACCTCCCCTCACACACTACTACACCATGTATACACAGCACAGACAGCGGCAGTGCCAGCTCCCCTCACACACTACTACACCATGTATACACAGCACAGACAGTAGCAGTGCCAGCCTCCCCCTCACACACTACTACACCATGCCATGTATACACAGCACAGGTACAGCACAGACAGCAACAGTGCCAGCCTCCCCTCACACACACTGCTACACCATGCCATGTATACACAGCACAGGTACAGCACAGACAGTGGCAGTGCCAGCCTCCCCCTCACACACACTACTACACCATGCCATGTATACACAGCACGGGTACAGCGCAGACAGCGGCAGTGCCAGTCTCCCCTCACACACTACTACACCATGCCATGTATACACAGCACAGACAGCGGCAGTGCCAGCTCCCCTCACACACTACTACACCATGCCATGTATACACAGCACAGGTACAGCACAGACAGCGGCAGTGCCAGCCTCCCTTCACACACTACTACACCATGCCATGTATACACAGCACAGGTACAGCACAGACAGCAACAGTGCCAGCCTCCCTTCACACACTACTACACCATGCCATGTATACACAGCACAGGTACAGCAAAGACAGTGGCAGCCTCCCCACACATTACTACACCATGCCATGTATACACAGCACAGGTACAGTACAGACAGGGGCAGTGCCAGCCTCCCCTCACACATTACTAAACCATGCCATGTATACACAGCACAGGTACAGCGCAGACAGCGGCAGTGCCAGCCTCCCCTTACACACTACTACACTATGCCATGTATACACAGCACAGGTACAGCGCAGACAGGGGCAGTGCCAACCTCCCCTCACACACTACTACACCATGCCATGTATACACAGCACAGGTACAGCGCAGACAGCGGCAGTGCCAGCCTCCCCTCACACACTACTACACTATGCCATGTATACACAGCACAGGTACAGCGCAGACAGCGGCTGTGCCAGCCTCCCCTTACACACTACTACACTATGCCATGTATACACAGCACAGGTACAGCACAGACAGCAACAGTGCCAGCCTACCCTCACACACTACTACACCATGCCATGTATACACAGCACAGACAGCGGCAGTGCCAGCTCCCCTCACACACTACTACACCATGCCATGTATACACAGCACAGGCAGGGCCGTCTTTAACGCGGGGCAAACGGGGCAGCTGCCCCGGGCCCAGTTTCTCTTGGGGGGCCCGAGGCACCTGCCCCGTGGGCCCCGCTGCCCTCATCAATTAATTTTTTTCCCCATCCTCTGAGTCCCACCGGGTGGCCCATGCACTTAGGGCAGTGGCGTACATACCAGGGTCGCGGCTGCGACCCTGGTATGCACCCACAAGGCCAGCGTCTTCCCCTGGGGGGCCCAGGAGGCGGCCACCCCAGGGCCCCCCGAGGCTGGCCCTGCTGACCCCGGCGGGCCGGTGGCCGGTCGGGCAGGAAGGCGGGCGCGCGAGGGAGCACTCAGTGCTTCCTCTTCAGCTCCCTCGCACACCGCACTGATACCGGAGCCGGAAGATGACGTCAGCAGCACCACTGGACCCCAGGGAATCCCACCCAGCACTCCAAAAGGTAAGGAGGCTGGGGAGATTACATTTTTTTTAAAAAAATGTGTGTCTGTGTGTGTTAGTGTCTGTGTGTGTTAGTGTCTGTGTGTGTTAGTGTGCTGGTAGAGTGTGGTAAGTGAAGTAGTATTAGTAGTAATTGAGTGTAATGTATGTGTAATTTAGGTAATGTGTGTGTTAGTGGTGTGTGTGTGTTAGTGTGTGTGTGTGTTGGGTAATGTGTGTGTTAGTGTGTGTGTGTTAGTGTGTGTGTGTGTTAGTGTGTGTGTGTTAGTGTGTGTGTGTGTTAGTGTGTGTGTGAGCATGTCTGTGTGTGTGTCAGCATGTCTGTCTGTCTGTGTGTCAGTATATATGTGTGTGTATATCTGTGTATGTGTCAGTATGTCTGTTAGTGCATGTGTATGCATGTGTCAGTATATCTGTCTGTGTGCCAGTATGTCTGTGTGTGTGTGTGTGTGTCAGTATATCAGTTTATGTGCCTGTGTGTGTGTGTCAGTATTTCTGTCAGTGTATGTATGTCAGTATGTTGATCAGTGTATGTGTCTGTGTGTGTGTGTGTCAGTATGTCTGTATATGTGCCTGTGTCAGTATGTCTGTCAGTACGTCTACCAGTGTATGTGTCAATATATGTACCTGTGTCAGTGTGTCTGTCAGTGTATGTGCCTGTTTATCTGTATGTAGTCAGTGTATGTATCTGTGTATCTGCTTGTGCGTCAGAGTGTGTACCTGTGCATCTGAGCCGCAACTTTAAATACAAATACACCCCTCCATTCAAACTTCAACACTACATATAAAAACACACTCCTGCATTGAAATGTCAACACTACATACAAGCACACTCCTACATTCAAAAACAAACACTACACATAAATGCACACTTGCATTCAAACTCCAGTACCACATACAAACACATTCACACAAACATTCTCCATACAAACACATGCTTACATTCAAACATACTAACATGGCTCAGTGCTAAATACAACCCTGCAAGCATGAGAAATTGGTAGAGTCCCAGCTGTCAAAGCATTGTTGGAGTTGCACGACAGATGGGGTTCTACCTTTAGTCCAACCTTGCAATTGGGGTCCCAATAAAATTCATTCTACTTTAGTACCGCCACTGCGTTGGGATGGATGCCGTGATTGCATACCAGGGAGTGAGGGGCGAGAGCGGCAGGGCACAGGGGCCCCAAGCAAACACTTGCCCAGGGTCCATTCGTTATTAA